CATCTTCCGTCCCAATGAAATCACTCTGGGCTGTATGACTGACGCTTTGGTCAGCAACAGGTTGGTTGAGGAGGCAGAGCAGTTGGTCGGTGATTGGAAAGAACTGGTAAGAGATCCCTCGTGGGTTCGATTCCTGGTCAGGGACCAACTCAGCTTTGAGAAATAACGTCACACAGGGTTTGTTGACAATTGGTGAAGTGACTCATGTGATGACATTTAAATGGGAAACTAGCCTCGTGGAAATTTGAAAATGAATTCCCCCCGGAAATATTATAGGTTCCTGGATGATTCTCAGGTCCTCCTGGTAGAGGCATTTTTGGTCAGGTTCCACCGAATACTGTCATCTATAGTACGCTCATTCATGGCTGGGCTAAGCAAGTGAGCTCCTCCGCTTGTTCTCGCCTCAACTCTCCCATTATCCTTCCAGAACGATGCCAACAGGGCCCGCAGCATTTTTGCGCTAATGAGAGACGAGAACGTCCTCTGTAATGCAGTCACGTAAGTCCCCGGGGGGGGGGGGGTGATGCGATACGGTGAATCGTCTTAGTTTTAACTGCCTCATCCACGCCTGTGTTCGAGTAGGGGATATGCAAGGGGCGTTGGAGCTACTCGATGCGATGAAGTTACAGGCGGCTGCGAATGGTAGTGGCCTTGAGGTTGTGGTGGAAGAGGTGTTATACTCAGCTGATGTGGTGGGCTCCCAAGACTCGGACCACGCTGGTGGTTTGTTGGTGCCGCTGCCAGATAAGTTCACTTACAGTACAATCATCAAAGGATACTGTGCTAGAGGAGAAATGGAGCAATCATTGCAGATGTTTGATAGTAGGGAGTAGTGGTGGCAGTAGTAGCGCTCGCCCTGGTGATCGATTATTTTAGCAATGCTCGGTGATGGGCTACAGCCAGATTTGGTAATCTATAATACCCTGCTGGACGGGTGTGTTAAACGAAGGTAAGAAGTTTTACGAAATCGAACGAAGTTGATGATGAACATTTCGGAGGTCAGGTATCACGGTACGTGTGAGAGGCTTTTGGACGATATGACCAACTACTGGAAAATTCAGCCGAATAGTTATACACTTTCCATCCTCATCAAACACTACGGTCGCCAGGTGGATTCATCCACTGTGGTGATGGCGGCATCAGCGTTATTGTGTTTAGGGAGATCTTGAACGCGCTTTTAATTTGGTGGAGGAGTTGCCAGCCAAGTGATGCGTTGCTCGAGTGCTGCTGGCTACCTGTCTGGCGATGCTCTTCCCGTTAGGCACGGGTTTGAGGCCAACGCTCACGTCTGGACCTGCCTGATTTCGGCCTGCATCACCCATGGGGAGATGGAGACGGCTCAAGCTGTGGGGTTGTTGTTCTTGTCGAGGACAAGGCGTATATGATGTATTGTAGATATTCGATGTTATGCGCAAAGTGAAGCCCTCGAGGAGGCAGGAGACCAACGGTAGGTCTTATTTGGTCGTTGAAGTGGGTAACGGTACGGTAGGCCAACAATCGACTACGACCACCGGTGGAGGCTCCGATGGTGTGAACGCGTCTCTCGCTACGCCCGCTATTCTGCGTATGGCGGCTAAATGTGCTCCGGATGCGAAGGCGTGGGTGGAGTGGTTGATGGGATTTTGGAGAAAGGTGTGGGCAGATACGAAACGCAGATCCATGGTTGGATTAAATACAACAGACAGGACAAAGTGAAGGAGCTGACGGAGGATTTGGTCGAGTTGTGGTATCACAATGACATCGGCAGGTCTGTTGTTTTTCAGGAGCGCAAGTTTGGTATGCCCACGTATTCGCGTAATCATCATCATCATCGAGGTTCGTCCCGTCGTCGGTAATTCGAAACACAACTATAGTGAGTATGGATGGTAAGTCTGCTGTGAGACTGTTCTTAGGTTATGTAGTTAGATGGGTGACGCTGGTGGGAGCTGAATAATGTAGACCGACTCGGTTGAAGAAGTTGGCACGACTACCACCACTTAGACACTATCATCTTAATCATCATCATCATCGTAGTTATCTTTCTGATAGTATCACTGAGCAACGGCGGTCGGGGAAGCCCTCACTGTTGATCATCGTTTGGTCGTAATTAGACACTTCTCATTTTCACAACTTTGCATGGTAGTTACTTCTTACTATTCTCATAACTAGTACAACTCATTTGAAGCACAATCGCCAGTGTTGAAGTATTGTAGCACACATACGTCGCCTCCGCCGGATTGGTGATTTTGATTTGCTTGTTGTTGAATCATCACCGTATTAGTATTTAAGTGTATCCCTTCTGGGATGGAAGGAAAAGCCGGAGTAGTTACACTCATTGTTAGTTCCTTAGTCATACAACGTGAAGCAGTTGCTAAGCATGCTCAACTTGCTCTCTGTAATGTTTGTGTTGTAGTGGGGGACACTTACTATGGAGTCAAACCATAAGATATAATAAGTATAAAAGACAGCCAAGATTGCGCTGGGGTAGTCGATCTCGTGGCAACTTTCGCACATGGTCCGCTCACGCAGATGACGGGCGGTTTGAATTGTCTCTATTACATCTCCTCGCTGGAATTGCGATACTGTAGATACTTCTAGTTGTATCGCATCAAAATCAACGCGGAAATCCCGTGTGGATAACACCAATATTTGGAGACGAATGCGCATAACGAATCATGATTTTTCGCCACAAGAGTCATAGAGTGTGGCGATTGTGCCACTCTACACAATTACCTGTTTGATTGATATTCACTCACGAGGACTGTTGTCTACTTTCTCTAAACGGGATTTCAATACAGAACTACACAGTTTATATACGGGTCTTCAATTGGGGAGAATGATTGAATTGTTGTTATCATTCAAATCCTTGGATCGCATTGAGGGCGCCTACTCGAAGCCACCAAGACTTTATAACACAACAGAGCCATGACAAAAACGAAGATCGTAAGTTACCTGGTGTTCACCAGAGACCTCAGCAAGAATATAAGATTGATAACATTTAACCTGGACGGACCGACCAGCCGCAATAACAACATAATTACACAACATCCAGTGAGCTCCAACCTACGAAGGGGCTAGAATTGACAGACAAGGAGAATTTACTCGCATTTGCATCAGGGGAGTTTACAGAATGAATGCCTTCAATAATAATACAACTTGATTCACTCATGTGATGACCGTCGCACTCTTCTTCAAACAAGGCTTAGCTATCGTTCGTAGAGTCACTGCAGACTGACGCTTTATTGGAAAGCTTCTGCGAGGCACATTGCTCAACTTGGTTTGTGGGTCTGCTATAATCGAGGCGGTAGTCGCCACCGATAGTGCAGAGGTCCCCGAACCAGACCTTGAGGGGGGCAGACTCTTGGATAGACGATATCGCGGCCTTCCGATAGTAGAAGGAGGAGTATTACCCATTTAGGAGAGTACCACTACAACAACAACACACACACAATTGACCTCTTACATGACGCTAGTGTAAAGATAAACAAAGCTAGAGAGGTTACTTCAACATCAACCAGCCTCCAACACTTATTCGATTGAATTTCCTCAAACGCATTATCATGTTCGCGACTATAAACGTCCAATAGCAATCTAAGAGGCATCTCTAATGCTACTAACACAAAGTCGGTATCATTCATGCGTGAGAAAATTTGTATTTATCACACTGCAATCATTGACGATGATGATGATGACTACGCCGCCGACGGGCAACATCAATTGAA